GGGGGGGGGTAATGTAGAGATAGACTGAACAAAAACACAAGCAGACTCGGCACGTGTCAAAATAATTTCATACAAAAAAGTGAAATTTATCAAATTAATGGTTATGTTTTAAGGCAGCGATCAAGGGGTGCGGCCATTAAAAATGTCCATGCCCTGGACATGTGAAGGGTTTTATGTCAGTGTGCAAAAACCTTTCTATATATAAATGCGTCATTGAATTAAATAAGAAGATAGTACTGTTCTCTCGGTAGTTTGGTTAGAGCCGTCAGCATCCTAACGATATTTTACGATTCGCCTGAGAACCTGAGGCACATTTCATTCAATCAACATCCATTGTTTGCAATGCACAATCTACTGGCGGTCTTAATAAAGTATCAGGAGTCTCGCTAACTCCTGATGTCTGACCGACCCAACTCCAAGTATACAGAAAGCTTATCGGATGAATACACTTTTTTCATTATTTCTCCATCGAATATAGACAAATATCGTCGGGAATGCAATTTTAGGATAGCGACCCAATCATTGATCAGAACCACAGATAAGTGTGCATCACAACCATGTGTAAGATACAGCTGTATCATAGAACTGATCTTTATCAGTTTAATATATGGCTGACAGGAGTTTCCTGTTTCCTAGAACATAATATTGGCCACATAGAATAGCAACCCTGTAAATAATATAGATTAAAACAGATCATTTTATAGAAAAACTAATGGGTTTATTTTCTGTCCAAAATAATTGCTTTTAATCTAATCAATTGTTGATATAATCGTCGTGTTTAAAACTTATTTAAAACTTAAGAGATGGTAAAAGTAGTCAGTCTTCCCTAACCGGGTCTTGTCCTAACAGTGTTTGGATGTGGATATTATCGGTTGGGTCTAACATCAGAAGCCACTTGTTACCTCAAGTGAGACGTGCATACTTGTAAGTTAGAGGAAGCAGACAAGACGAGCCACGGGCAAAATGTATGTATATATCATAAGTCTTACAAAAGTACATTGTAGGACAAGGAAATATCTTCATGTACATTTACCATGGTTCAATTCGACATAAAACACTACCAGCGTTCAGTATTTTGCTGCCTGGTTATTGCACCTTAAGAATTTTACGCTGTCTGTCCCTTTGCTACTGTATGACCCCCTCAAAGATTCTCCGCGATTTATACCTCTGAAAACATTATCAATTTGCTTTTCATTTTGTTTCACTATATATCGTACGGGTTAGTTTCAGGAAAGGTGTATATTTATCAAAATTAAGTATGACGTTTCAACAGCATTGAAGACTGGCCTACAGTTCGCGGCCTGAAATGAAATTCGATGACAGTGAAGCGTTTTTACTGAGAGGACACATTATCATATTTAAATAAACGGTATTAATTTTTATTTGGTAAAAAAATGGTGAAACAATAATCAATTTTTAAATAAGACCGCCAATGTGTCCCTTTCCTTGATGCTATCAAATCCGCCTTAGATCCGACATAATGCTTTATAAGGCGAGTACAAATGCAATTCAT